TATTTATTTATTTATTTATTTATTTATTTATTTATTTATTTATTTATTTATTTATTTATTTATTTATTTATTTATTTGTTTATTTATTTATTCATTTATTTATTCATTTATTTTTGTTCATTTATTTTTGTTCATTTATTTTTGTTCATTTATTTGTGAATTAACTAAGAAGTATCATTTATGTAATAGAGGAATTGGCAATGTGGATAAAACGATTTAATTATTACTTTTGTATGAAATTTTGTGATTTAAGAATTTCTGAATTATTTGACATTATTGTGGATTTCCCTGATTCCAAAAATGCGATTGATGATTTAATTGTATGTTTTGTTTTTTTTTTCAATATTTATATTATTTTATTTAGATCATTATTTATTTATATTATTTATTTTTGTTTGATGGAATAAAATGATAATAATGATAGTTATGTATGAAAAGATTAGATACAGAATATAGACTTTGCCTTGTTAAATCATTACAAGCAGCGTAAGTTATAAAAATTATTTATAATAATAATAATAATAATAATAATAATAATAATAATAATAATAATAATAATAATAATAATAATAATAATCATCATCATCATCATCATCATATAATAGATTTAGAAAAAGATTACTCATTCCCGGAGCAGCAACCAGTGATATAATTAATACATATATATCAACCATCAAATGTTTAAGATTATTGGATCCATCCGGTGTATTATTAGAAAAAATCACTGATCCTATTAAAAATTATATAAGGTATTTGAACTCATCGTCGTGAGAGTGGATTAATTAATTAATTTATTCATTCATTTATATGAATTCATTGATTAATTGATTAATTAATTAATTCATTCACTCATTTATATGAATTCATTGATTAATTGATTAATTAATTAATTAATAGGACACGACCAGATGCAGCAAAATGTTTAGTTACATTTTGGATGGATGATGAAAATAATATTGAATTAATTGAAGAATTGGGACGTACCGAAAATCCTATAGAAGATCATATTGACAATGAATTAAATATATCTGATGATAATTGGGTTCCGGATCCGATGGACGCCGGACCTGGTTAGTTAAATATTTTTAGTTACCTTAATTTATTTCACAATATCTTTGATATTATTTATTATTTGAATTCTATTTCTTATTTATTTTACAATATTTTTAATTAAAAAAAATAAATAAAATAAAATAGGATATAAATCATCAATTTATCGTTCAGCTGATATCACACATCTGCTTGCAAATTTGTTGGATAATACAGAAATTATTACTAATGAAATTCATAATCAAATGGCAACGTTATTATTATCCAAAGTGAATTATGATACCGGAAAAGAGGTTTCTATTTTATAATCAATTTTTATAATATTTATTTATATTTCATATATATATGTATATGGTATTATATATTCATTATAGGCATATTTATATATGTATATCTCTCTATATCTATATCTCTATATCTATCTCTCTCTCTCTATATATATAGCAAACTAAACTAGAATTATTTAAATTACGATTTGGAGAAACGAAAATGGCAACTACCGAAGTAATGATTAAAGATATAGTTGATTCAAAAAGATTGGACGGTAATATTTATGAGGATCCTATTTCGAGAGTAGCGGGATTAAAAAAAGAAGAACCAATTTTGCATGGTTCCATTATTTCAAAATTATTTTGGCCAAATTTAAAAAATGAAGAATTTATTGTTCCGGAATCAATTTCAAAGTATGTTTTATTTATTTATTTATACTCTATATTATATGAATAACATACAATATAATAATAATATAATATATATACTCTAAAAATATATAATATATTAGGGATATGCAAAAGTATGAAGAAGCATTTAAAACTGTAAAACCTAGAAGAAAATTACAATGGTTAACATCACTTGGAAAAGTAGTTGTAGAATTAGAATTACAAGATCGTACTTTGGAATTTGAAGTTTTACCTATATATGCAACAATTATTTCTCATTTTCAAATTCAAGGTGATTGTTATTCTAAGATTTTTAACATTTTATAATAATTCCAATATTTTCTAATATTAACTAATATTTGTGTTGTGTTTAGATAAATGGGATTTACATTCATTAGCATTAAAGATGAAGATTAATCCTGAAAGTTTACGTAAGAAAATGGTATTTTGGGTAAATAAAGGAATTTTGAAATTAATTTCGGAGAATGAATGGATATTATTGGAAATTGCTGAAGAAGTTGATAATATCAATGGTAATATATTTTAATTATATTATATTAACATTAAATATTAATAATAACATTAAAATAATAATAATATTATTATTATTATTACATTCAATTAATTAGAACTTGATCGTATTGAAGAAACGTCTATTAATTTTGTGGAAGAACAAAAAACAGATGGAACACATAGTTTATGAAATTTATTAATATATACATATATATTTGTATATATATTTGTATATATATTTTATATATATATATTAATTAAATAAATTTATGTTATGTTAATCTATCCAATTTAATTCATTACTTTCATCACCTTTAGTTTTTCTATTTAATACTTCTATAACTTTTTCTCTTACTCCAATTTTACCTCTTCGATCTTTAATAAAAAAATTCAGCACATCATTTTTGGTCATACTTAAAGATCCAGCTTCAGGAGTTTCACCCGTGACAACTTTACGAATCTCTTCTTCGGAAGGAAGATTAAATTTAGAAAATGGATAATTTTCATATGATATATTGGTTAATAATTTAAGTTTTTGAACTCCTTCAATTTTTTCAATTTTTTCAATTTTCGTATCGTTAAAAAATTCCGTAAAATTAGATAATGTCGATGGATCCCATTCAGGTTTTGTTGAAGGTTTATCAATTAACAGAGCTTTGACACCACGTTTGAAATCAGAATTTTCCTGAAATATAATTTAAATATGATTATTAAATATTTAAATGGAATTATGATTAAATAATTTAATTACCAACCAAAAATTTTTGCGCAAGAATAAATTCCAGTTTAAAACAATCTGTTATAAGCTTTTTTTTTCCTTTCCTTAATGCGTCTAATGTAACCTGAGAACAAAAACAAAAAAAAATATAAATTCAAAATAAATAAATTAATTAAAAAATAAATAAATTAAAAAATAAATAAATTAAAAAATAAATAAATTAAAAAAATAAATTGATTCAAACATTCAAACAAAATAAGATTCACAAAATAAAACTCACTTTAAGACTTGTCGGTGACAATGATAACATAATATTTTTAGTTTTTGTTGCCCAATCAGTATTTTCACCCTCCAAAGCTTTAATTATCTTTTCAACACTTTCAAATTTAAAACATCTAAAAATAATTATTCATTATTATTTATTATATTTACTTATAAATAATAATAATAATAATAATAATAATAATAATAATAATAATTAAATACCTATCAATTGCTTTTCTAACATCACCAGCAAGAGAATATATATGATCTTTATTACTTTCAAATACATAATCTTCAATTGCCATATTAATTACTTCATTATCATCACATTCAATTTCACTTAATCGTTCTTCTAAGAATTCCAATCTATTAGATGGAACATAATGTGTGGCTATTCCCGCGTAACTATTAATAATTAATTGAATAATTGAATAATAATTAATAAAATAACCGAATACTAAATTTAAATAATAAATAAATAATAAATTTAGATAATAAATAATAAATAATAAATACAAAACATCTAAACCCTTTAATTGAAAACCCGTCAATGCTAAATAAGTCCCAATTTGACCATCCAATCTTGGTAAAAAAAATGAACTTCCAACATCAGGAAAAAATCCTATTTTTGCTTCAGGCATAGCGAATAATGTTTTTTCCGTAGCAATTCTAAATGGTCCATGAACTGAAAGACCTACTCCTCCTCCCACTTAGTGTATATATTGATATTGATATTTATTTATTTGTGTGTGTAATATAATAAAGCTATGTGAATGTTTGTTTGAATAGTAAAAAAAAAAAAAAAATTTAAAGGTTTTAAATAAAAATAATTATAATAACTTTACTGGTAATTCCATTCATAATTGAAACAAATGGTTTATTTATTGTAGCAATAAGATGATTAAGTTGATATTCTTCTTCAAAAAATTTAACTGCTTCTTCATGTTTTCCATTTTCTTCATCTAAAATTACACCTAATTTTTATAATTAATTAATTAATTTATTTATTTATTTATTTATTATTTTATCATTATGATTATTTAATTAATAATATTTATATTATTATTTTAAATTCTATTCTATTCTTACGTTTAACATCTCCTCCAGCACAAAAAGCGGTATCTCCCGCCGCTTTTAGAATAATAACTTTACAAAGATCTGATTCTTTCCAGGCCTGAACAATAACAAATAACAAATAACAAATAATATAAATAAATGACAATAATATAAATAAATGGCAATAAAATAAATAAATCATAAAAATAAATAAATCATAAAAATAAATAAATAATATAAATAAATAATTTACTTGTAATTGAGGAGTCATAGTTCTAATCATACCAAGATCTAATGCATTTAAAGCTTTTGGTCTATTCAATATGAAAATACGACTACCTAGTTTCCTTCTTTGTAATACATCTGCCTAATAAAATAATTGGTTTAATATATGATGAGTAATATGGTATTTTTTCATATATATATATATATATATTTACCTGTGAAGATTCCCCCATAATTGGAAGATTCGAAGTGGAAAATTTTGATATCTATTTATATGAATTTGTCAGATCGTTCGATCTTTGGTTGTTATTGTTGTTACTTTATTTCCACAAAGAATTTTTTTTTTATTAAAAATAATAATAATAATAAAAACCATAATAAAATAATATCGCAGATAACAAAAAAAAAATGATATTTGATTGATAAAATAATAAAAATAATAATAATTGTAATTCTATGAATCTTTACGAACCTGTTTGATTTCTCCTCTTCTACCAAAAAAATTATTATTAAAAAGATCATCATTATTAATATTATTATGATTATTATCTCTAATACTGCTAATACTGCTAAAACTTCTAATGCTACTAAAATTTCTAATATCACCACCAAAACTTTTAATACTAATTCTGACATCACCAATACTACTAATGTTACTTCTTGCGGGAGTAGTATTAATTGTATTATTATTAATATGAGTGGTGATTCTTCGAAACATTATTATTTAATATATTATATTTACAGTATTATTAATATTGTGAAGGACAAAGTATATTATTATATATAAAAGAATACTAAAAGAATTTAAAGAGGAATTTTTCAGATTTCCCAAATTTGGTTATATCTACGATCTTTACTATTGTACTACAATTTATTACAATTTCGAGCTACTGATTTTTGTGTTTTGCTACTGCTTGCTTTTAAAAATTTCAAGTAAATCTCGTAAAAAATGGCAGCAATCATGGCAACTAAAGTTCAAAAAATTATGGTTCAACCCATAGTATGTAAATTATATTATTTAATATATATATATATTTTTTTTTTGCTAATGAAAAAATTATTTAATTATTTAATTATTTCTCTTTTTTATCTTTAGAACTTGATATTCAAATATCTTCAGAATGTAAGTAATAATATCTTGTTACCACACATTACTATTGAATTATTTGAATTTAATCAATTTTATGATTTATTAGAAAACGAGAGTACAAATCTGGTTATTTGAACAAGTTGATCTAAGAATCGAAGGACAAATTATTGCAAGTTTATTATTTTATTATTTAAATTATTATAATTATTATTATTATTATTATTATATTTATTATATTTATTATATTATTATATTATTTATTATTTATTATAATTTATTTAGGGATTTGATGAATTTATGAATCTTGTGCTTGATAACGCGGAAGAATTAAATACAAAGAAAAAGACACGGAAGACATTGGGTTGCTAATTCATACAAAAATTTATTTTATTTTTATTTAATTTATTTATTAATTAATTATTAATTTAATTGATTTATTTTCTTAATTATTGTTTATTTGTTTCATTATTTCATATTTCTCTTTTTAAAAAAAATTTACTGATTATATTTATTATTTAATATTATTCTCTAGGTCGAATTTTGCTAAAAGGTGATAATATTACTTTAATTCAAAGTATTAGTGGATAATAATCATTATACCTCTGTCTATCTATCTATATCTATATCTATCTATCTATCTATCTATAGATTTTATTATGATAATTATTATTATAATTCAAATACATTAAATACATTACATTCTACAAAAATAATAAAAATAATAATATATAATGATGATGATGATGATAAAGTAATGGTGTTATTAATAATAATAATTTCCAATAATTTCTTAATAGAATTATGAATAACTAAAGTGAGACCTTACCTCTGATTTATTTATTGTAAATTAAACATAAGTTATTATTGAGATAATTTATCTATTGTTGTAAATATTTATGAAACTACATTTAAAATCAGAACTGACCTCAATAAAGATACCTACCATAATTCAAAAAGAGAAAAGATAAGGAAATGTAGAGAATTGCAACTCGTTAAAAAATTACACTGTTGAAATCATGAATATATACAACTAAAGAAATAAAACATTAAAGATAAATGAAAAAAATAAAATATTCACAAAGAAAATTATAAGATTTTTTCTGCCACCACACTTATTGTATCAATTTGCTGTTGGGTAAATGTGCCTTCTATAATTCACAGACAACAGAGGATCCCTGTAACCATTTTAATTTAATTATTTAAAATTCATTTTATTCTTGATTTATAATATATAATCAAAAATAATACCTATCATCTTTGACCAGTTTTTACATTGAATAACAAACTAATTTCCCCTTTAACATTAATACCTTCATCACCTGGACCCCTGAAATAACAAGATAAAAAAATATGAACATTTGCATCATCATCATCAAGAACATTCACAGTTATATGTGACTGTGGTCGCGAAGAGCCCTCGGTTTGTTGATTCGTGTATCCAATTCACCATAAATCCCCAGGGCCAGAAACCGAATGCAGGACATTAGAAACAGGAAGAACGTTCACAGCAAAAACTGTGATCACGAAGAGCTTTCAATTCCCCGACATTTACATTTACATCAACTGACATTATAACTTCGGATACACAACAACTTAACAAATAACTCAGTGAGATAAGTCACTCTATCTTGATTTCTACACTCTTTAAAATTTTAACTTCTTTTTCGAACGTTCTACCTTAGATGACATGTTAAGATTTATATAATATATATATATACATATATATATATTTAAAAAACATCCCTTAATTTTTTATTTATTTATCTTAAATACCAAATTTTTTTATCTTCCATATTGTAAAAATTGACTCTTCGATGACATTTGTTATTGATAAAGATCTCTTTTGGGGATCTCTTATTATTAAAAGAACATGTCAAAAACCACATTTTTAGTAATTTTATATTCACATCATAAAACCTGCTTTATTTAGATCAAGCACCTCTCCCTACATGAAAAAATAAAATAAAATAAAAAAAATAAACTTGAATATATAAAATATTATAATTCAAAAAATGATTGCGACATAATTCTATAATAGATGGCGACAGCCAATCAAAACGTCAAAGCGTAATTAAAATTTGGGCGATCATCCCTATTCATATTTTACATATTCTTAATATTACATCTCCTCCTTCATATTTTCATCAATCATCATAAGATAATTATTATTTATTTATTTATTATATTCTATTATTAAATATTCTTATTAAAATAAATTAAAAAAACATTTAAATTTCAATGATCCAACATAATATTTCACTACAAGAATAAAAAGGAAAGGTGCAGAATTAGACGGAGTAAATAAATCTTGAATCATTATTATTAGTTAGATGTTAAAAGAGAGAGGGAGAGAGAATACATATAACCGAATTGGAAAATTTATGGGAATTGTGTATTACAATATTTTAAGAGCACTTCTTATTTTATCTTGTTAGTAAAAATAGCGATGATAAATATTCAGATCGGATTGGCAATTTGGGAATTGCGCAAAAATCGGTAAAAATCGACGAAATCGGATTTCCGATTCGAAAATTGAACTAAAAAGACTTTTTTTTTCCATTTGACCTGTGTAGGGAATCTGCATCTATCTTTATTTGATTGTAAAAGTATTACAGATTACATAATCGAAGAATGTCAAATCTTAATATCTAATGATTTAGGAATTTGTGCTATTGTGCATTCATGTTCGAAACTTAAATAAATAGCTTGAACTTGGTCAGTATTCGATTGGTAATAAAAGTTGTTAAGGAAATAACCTGCAAATGTGTTAATTTAGAATATCTTGATTTTGGAGGGATGTAAAAACATTAACAAGGAAGTAATAAATTGACTTAATTCAATATTGAAATCAAATATACCTCAGATTATGAATAGCTTGATTTCTGATTTAGATGATACACTCTTCTAATCTACCAGTAAAAATTGATTTTACCAATAGATTAGGTGAGATGGATTTTATTTCCACATTCCCGTGGGCACAGAGAAACAAAGCCCAATGAAACCCAAGAAGCCGCAATCCCAAGAGGAAAGAACTTGACGATTATAAAAAGGCCAAGAAATTCAATGATTATTAGAACATCAGGTGCAACTATTCCAAAATATATTGAAGGAACTAATCAAAATATATTATTATGGATTAATTCCAATAGAATATAAATAACGGCCATTAATTATTTTTGGACATCCGTTATCTGACGATTAACTAATCATGATATTTTTTTCCAGAAACATCGCGCTCGTGATATTATCACCTATCCAGAATTTGAGGAAACAGAGTTTCTTTTCTATGAAAATCTGAATCATATGTGAACATGGGTAAATCTCGAAATAATATACGAAAAAAACAAATTATAGGGGTATTTAATTATTCTGAATTACGGGAATATTTGGAGATACATTATCCGTCGTTATTGATATAATCCGATGATTAAATTTCGCATTTATTTTTTCGGAAAATTTATTTGTATATACTACCATTCCTGATCGTGATCACCAATGCATTCCATGCATTACCTCGATTAGTGAAAGAAAGAACCAATACCATGGATCGCTGATATAAACGCGGATCCGTGTAATTACATATATTACGATCGCCGATAATCTATCGATTTAGACGAAATATGAAGAACCAACGTCGGACCTTAATTTATAAACTTGAACGAGACATTATGGCTTTAAAAAAACGAAATCACTAAATGCAGAATGGAGAAGTGAAGCCCGAAGTGGAAACAATTTTGGATTATTTTTTGTATTTATGTATCAGATACACTAGCTCCGCTATTAGCAGTAGTAGCAGAAATATAAATTTTGATAGCGATAATAACAATGATAATAACGATAATGATAGCTGGTGTGGGGTGGGGTAGGGAAAGGAACTGCTAATTCTTTACATTGTAAAGGGCTTAGGATCTGGCAGGCATAGATAATATTCTACCTATTCGTTATTTGGACGGCCTTTTACAATGTAATTTCTCGTAAAATAATATTATAACTATCAATAAAGTAGTATAAAAAGTTTTTGCGATTACTTTCATATATAATTTGATCATCAATCTGTGCAAGAGAAGAAAAGGAACGACTTCGCTACTATTAATGCTGGCAAACTCAATTTATGAAATGTCAACATTTCCACGGATAACAAGGCCGATAAATTAACCGCTGTCCAAACCGCCATTTCAACATAAAGAACAACCTTGGGGGTGAAGAACTAGACCCGCTTGACGAAATAAGTGAACACTTTTTCACCCAACTCGATAAGAAACACATACACATCATCGTACAACGCCCCGGTGAAAGTAAAGAGGTTCTCTGCAATATGCGTAATACTATAAATAATAAGGTGGATCTGGTTGATACTCCTATATTTATGCTTAATTCTTTAAAATTCTAATTTTTAACAGCGCAAAAATCATTCCATCGTATAATTTCCAAAAGATGAAAGATCTCTTTGGTTTGGCAGCCAATAACCTTGGAGAATTACCGACTGTCGAAATAGAATCATTATCAATAACAAGAAATCCGTGGAAGGAGTAATTAATGATACACGGGACATCCCAAAATGTTGTTATTTATCAAACGAGGCAAACCGTCGTCATTTATTGAAGCGATAATCCGTGGCGTAGCGGATACCTATAATGAGAAAGTACTAGTTTGGTCTAAATACGAAGTCTGCGGGAGTCATGGCAAGGGACCTATCGATTTGGTAATTAAAATGGGAGATACAATTATTTATATGCAACTTAATACTAAAAAACGTACACATATGATGAAGCCAATTTGGATGAGAGCGAAATGGTTTATATTGTCTCAACTGGTATTTTAGTAAAACAAATTTTAAAGAAATTAACAGATTACTAATTCTCTTTGATATTTCAAATATTAGGTGTTGATTGGTTTATAATAAAAGTCCGGAACAGTAATGGAAATGGAAATGAGTAATGGAAAGTTGGAGCTTTTTTGTGTTCGTTTAATTATAAAGCATTACTTATCAACAACAATCCATTAACCTATAATGACTTATATATACCGGTTGAAAAATTGTTTAAGCAAATTAAAAGGGCTTTAGATCAACAAATAAACGAATAAAGACGTAATCTTATATGTATTAGAGATTTGGTTATCAAAAAAATTATTCACGTTTCACATTTGACTTCTGTGAAGTGTTTGTATATATATAAATTTCTTGTGGATTGTTGAGTGTTTAAAAACATTAAAGTTTTAAGTTTTCTCAATCTCGAGGATGCTCCGGAGTAACTACATATGGGTCTTCGTAATACCAAACATACCTTAGAATAATCCAGTTGTGCGTTACAATTTTTAACGTCAGCTCTTCTAATAAAAAAGAAATCCATATTCGCCGATCAACTTTCCATTTCTATTCCAACTCTGGAAAATTCTTACATCGTCCTTTAAAACTTTTAGGATATTGTATGCAGGATTTTTTAATTTATTAGCTAAGGCTTTTCCTGATTTCGACATATCAACACTTTCCCGCCTTTATATTAATCGGCAAAATTAAATTTATTTGTTATAATTCAAATATACTACAAATCGTCCGTGCAGGCTTCGCCAATAAAGTTATAATTCTGGGCTTATTTTTTATGGCAAAAATGTAAATCGTACGTCTGCTTTACGGCTATATTGGGTTAGTGAAAATATAGATTGTTAACAAATGAAGCATAAAAAAAATGTAAATAAGGGATATAGTGGGATAGAACGTAGATTACAAAACGTACAATTATACATATCTAAGCTTTTGGTTAATTGGTTAGCGAACTCCTTAATTTTTTGTATTCTTTCGGGAATAACTATTTCTGATTTTTCATCATACCATACCTCAAGAAGAAAAATTCTATTATTTTGACACATGCATCTTTTTTGCCGACCACGATTAACAATATCCTTGAATTCTTTGATATATGATCATTTAGTGACTAAAATTGAATTTTTATTGTAATTAAGAATCTTAACAAAATTGTCTCGAGATCTAAAAAGAAAGGGTTACTTGATAATTATTAATTAGCTATTTTAATTTGATATTTTATAATATGTATTTTGTAATATTATTAATGTAATTATTTTTTATTTATTATTATTAATAAAAATAATAAAAATAATAAAAAAAGTTAATAATTTTTATATATTAATTATTAATTCATTTTTATTCTTTTGGAATTTTCTTTTCTTTTTTCATAATCCCTTGCATCTCTAATCTCCAACCACCCCCAATAAGTTAATAAATTTGATAAAGTGGAATCAATTACAGTATCAGAGGGTCTTATATCATATGCAAATAAAGTTTCCAAAATATCTTTTTCTTTTTTTAATGGATAAATATCATGTAGTTTTAACGTTTTTCGTTGGTTTATAGGAATAATTTTACTTGATTTTAATTCATTCCTTTTTTGTATTGAATTTTCATCAGGTGGATTATTAAAAAGGATTGTATGTTTTTTTGGTATGTTTGGTTTTATTTTTCTTTTAAGTCTGAAACCTTTGTAACAACTATTCCTTTTGCGCCTCTACCTTTAGTATCAATTACTTATAAGCATAAAATAATTTCTCAAATCCTTCTGTTGTGTGATTACAATTTTGAAACAATAGGTGGTGAGTTCAAATGCTTCAAGTAATTGATTGATTAATTTCCATAATACTTCATGACAGTCTTTAATAGCTCGTGTGGTTGTTGATAATACAATTATTAAAACACCTCCAATACATATTTGATAATGAATATAATTTTCTTTGGTTTCTCTTGGTTCTTAAAATAAGAATTTACATTTTGGAACATTTTCTCAAGATAAAAATTATTTATTTATTGAAAAAAGATTGTACCAAAATTGCATTTAAATTACATATAATTTTTTGCAGTTAATTCACGAATCACAAATTAACTAATAAACAGAATGCACAACAATGCCTTAGAAATACCTAAAAGATGCTAGGGTATAGCCAATGTATGTTTCTTCATAATTGAGCCCTTGATATTTTCTCGAGTATTATCGTTTTCACGATACGCGTTCAGTTTTACGATCACGTTTATAAACTGCCCAATAGTCTATATCTGCCGATCAATGCGATTTGTACTCATCGAATCATGTGATTTGAGCGAAAAGTAAGGCACTTTAATAATGTCTCCAAAGTCAAAACCAGCTTCAAATAACAGGCCTTGTCTGCCTGCTTCTCTTAAAGAGGAAATATATGAACAAAGTGAGAGGACAAATCAATAACAGTTTGAAGGAATTTACAACAAGGTTCACTGACTTATAAATAGCCTGTGTTTTTCTTTTAAAGGGGACGAAAAAGACAAAAGAAAGTTTGATCAAAAGTTTAGAAACCGAGAAAAAACACGTAAAATAAAAAGAAAACTTGCTCGTCTGGAGAAGAAACATAAAAGAGCTAAGGTTGAGTGTTTAGTATTTTTGACTTGACAATACTATACAATAAATATTGAACTTTGAACTTTCAATCTATTTGCATAAAAAGGTACAAGCACAGGAGATACAAAAACCTCCAGCGAAACGTCAGAAAACGGACGATGATTCCATTTCTTCTAAGAAAGAAAAAAATTCCGGGAAACAAAAAGTTACACACGCACAACAATTAGAAAAATTTTCTACAAAAAATCCTAGAAAAAATGTCGAATCAATTGAAGATGATGATGAAGAACGAGCAATGAGACGATTAGAAAAGAAATTGAGAATTAAATCGAGTGCAAAACTTTCGAAAGTTTTTAAAGATGATGGATTGGATGGTATGAAAATTACTGAATATTATATTTTAAATATCTTGTGCAATATTCAATTTACTAATATTACAATTTATTTGTTGAATGAAGAATTATTGGAGGGAATAACAGTTGGTTCACAGAAGTCAAGATTAAATTTATCAAAGAATAAAGATAATTTACAAGAAAAAGTTAGCAATATTTTTAACAAAATTCTTTTTGAGAAACTATATTTTTTTTTTCTAATGAACGGGATATTGGAATATTTTTTTAGAATGATAAAAAAGATCTTGAAAATCAAAATTTCGAAAGATGCAAAGAATCTACAAGTGAAGATGATGAATCTCAAGAATCAGATAACGATAGTGAAACCCTTTTGGATTTAAAAGAATTCAACATTGAGAGTGAAGAAACTGATGATGAAAACCTTGGTGCAGACGATTCAAATGATGAAGATAAAGAAGGCGAAGAAGATGAGGAGGAGGAGGAAGAAGAAGAAGAAAAAGAAAAATCTAGTAAATATAACATTATTAGTTAGTATTAGTATTATACATTTAAACATCATATAATTAATTCATTTTGATTTCTAGTCAAGTATAAGCCTCCACATCTACGTGAAAAACCTGTAACCACAAATGCTCAAGAACCTGATAAAGCAAAACAAGAGCAAATTTCACGCTTACAACGTCAATTGCAAGGTTTTCTAAATAGGTTCATAATAACTTCTATAATTTCAAACTCGAATGTTTATTAATATATTATTAATATCTATATTTTTTTACATAAAGATTGAGTGAATCTAACATAGAAAGCATAATTATGAATATCGAGGAAATTTATGAGAATAACATTCGTCACGGTAACGTAACGTTCCTTTCCCCAAATTTATTATTATAATTATCATTTTTTTGCCGAATTTTTTTGAAATTTCTTTAGCATCCTCTCATCTTATTTTCTTTTCTTATCAGACGTAACTTCTACTATCACCACTTTTATATTGAATTTAATATCAAATAGGTCTACGATTTTAGATCAATTCGTAATTTTGTACGCTGCCTTGGTTACTGCGCTATATAAGATCGTTGGGATAGATTTTTGTAAGTTTGAGTAATTATGTTTTTCGTTCAATATAAAAATATAAATGTTGAATGAATCTGAATAGAGTTAACCTTTATTTATCTAATTTATATAAAAGGTGCATATTTCACTCAAACTTTAATAGAAAATTTCGAAAGATTTCATGATCAACATCTTCAAACTGTTGATTTACATGAAAAGGGTGGAAAAGAGTGTATCAACCTAATAGTTCTGGTTTCAGAATTATATAATTTTCAGGTTATATCGTGTGTGTTGGTTTACGATTTGATACGTTTATTTATAGCAGATTTGACAGAATTGAACGTGGAATTATTATTAAAAATTGTTAAACGTAAGTAATTTCCGAGTTATGGACTAATTTATTGATTTAGAAATATTGTTATTAATTTTTTTTTATTTGCACAAAAGATTCCGGTTATCAACTCAGGCAAGATGATCCATCTGTTTTAAAAGAAATAGTTCAACAAATTCATAATGAAACGGGCAAGAGAGATTCCCAAAGTTTGGCGTAAGTTTATATCTATTTTTATAAGAAAAGATTGATATGACTCATTTGAAAATACAATGAAATTGACTTTTATCAAAATATAAGGCCACGTACTAAATTTATGATAGAAACCATCGTAAATCTCAAAAATAATCGCTTAAAACAGCAGTCAATAGTAACCAACACAGAGAGTACTTTAAGAATGAAAAAATTTCTTGTAAATTTGGGGAAGAAAATTCATGGTGAGTATATTATAATAATGATAGTTATATAATTTCTTCAAATTTATATTATTTATTATATCATATATTTTTGTTACGCATCAGTTCAAGCTACTCAACCGTTGAGAGCAAGTCTTGAAGATATTCGTTCAATCGAAACGAAGGGTGAGTAAAATTATATGCATACGTTTATTGTTCAATGTTTTAATTTATCTTTTTTGTTATAAAAATTTTGAAGGCAAGTGGTGGCTTGTTGGATCAGGTTGGAATGCCGATATGATCGTCGATCAATCCTCGACTACCCTTAAACAGGCAGAAAAGAGAGAAAGTGTATCGGATGCTTTATTAAATCTTGCAAAGCAACAAAAAATGAACACTGATGTTCGAAGGAGTATTTTTGTAATTTTAATGAGTGGCGAGGTAATTAATGATATTGAGGAGAATATAGACGAAAATTTTGTCTTTATAATATATGAATAACCATTTTCAAACTTTATTTAGGATTATGTTGATGCTTTTGAGAGACTTCTAAAACTAGGCCTTAAAGAAGTCCAAGCACGAGAAATTCCACGTGTCTTAATTCACTGTTGTGGCAACGTACTGTATTTCTATTTAAATTTTTATGCCACAAAATGATCAGATTCTAATGCTTTCTTTACTTATATTATTTATAAATTAGGAAAAGATTCATAATCCTTATTATGCTCTCATTGCTCAAAGACTTTGTAACTATGATCACAGTTTCAAAATAACTTTTCAGTATTGCTTGTGGGACTTTTTAAGAGAATGTGGCGAAAATGATGTAGGTGGCATGGAACTTATTAAAAATACGCCAACCCAAAACGATGAAGTAAAAGAAATACCATTGAGGCGACTTGTCAATTTGGCGAAGTTTTATGCAATTTTAATTTCAGAGCGTGAATTATCAACTATAATTTTAAAGGTAAGAATTATTAGAATTAAAGAGAATATAATTTTATTATTGATCAATTAACTTATTTTTTTATGTAATTCATACAGACGGTGTCTTTTACTAAATTGCATTCCCAAAGTCAATTATTTTTTCAACTTCTTTTTTCAAATATAATAATTTTAACTTTAACAAAAAATACTCGAAAGCCAAATCCTCAAAAACTTTCCGATGTTTTTGGAAAGTCTGCTCTTAATCCCACATTGGAACAAGGAATTTTATTTTTTATACACCATTTTGTTAAAAAAGGCGAAATATTAAAGAATGAAGAAGAAAAAGAAATAATAAGATTGGGATGTAGTATTATCAAACAAACAATACGAGACAAAATGAGTGTTGAAGAAATGCTGGAATAATTTATATATAATTTATTATTTAGATTATCTAAAGAAAAATATGTAAAACTAATTAAAATTGAAATAAAAAATTTCATCTTAATAATAAAAAACAATTATAATTTACATAATGATTATAAATGAGATATATAATACAGGAGTTAAAAATTATGTAAAAAAAAATAATAATAATAATAATAATATAATATAAATAAACAATAAATTAGGATAATAAATAATTATAAATATCAAAAGAAAATGGTAATCGTCAATATTCATCTTCGAGTCGATCTACATATGCTGGATCTATCCATCCTTTTTCTTTATCTTCATTAATCCCAAACCACCATTGCTCCGTATCATCAATATGTATCACCTTAAGTAAATCTCCCTTTTTGAAGTTCAATTCTCTTGAATATTTTGATTTATTTTCATAAGTAGCTACAACATAAAATAATGCATCTTCGTCTTCCTCTTCTCCTCCTCCTGTCAAAGAATCATAAAATATTTCATCCTCGGCATCAGACGATTGACGTCTATCCAGTTCACTATCAGTCAAATATTTTTTGTGCACTCCCAATTTTTGTTGTTTTTGTTTAATTGTTCGAAAATTAAATGATGAATCATCGAAAGAATCTTTTGACATCAGTTTCGAATTATCCGAATAAATGTAATAAATGTTATTTTATGAGAATTGTTAGAAAAATGTTAAAAATTATATTTCATATCTAGAATTTAATAATATAACCAGATTTTTAATGCAAATAAAAAATCTTAATTGTTTACCTGAACGCACTAAATCTTCTGCTTTCTTCGGAGATACTGAAGGTTCGGTTTTTTTTATTTCTGTAACTGTCGTTCAAAATATCATTAATAAAAGATAATTGAACTTACATGTTATATTAAAAATTTAAGCATAAATTACCTGAACTCTTTTTTATTGTAACCAATGCTTCTAATTCATCTTCTATTTTCTCCTTAATATAAAATTGATCATGATATTCCGAAATAACATCAAATTTTTCCCAAATCAACTCTCTATCGTAAGAAATTTCTTCTAATTTCTGAGAATTAACAAATTTTCTAAAGTATTGTCCAAATTCCAAGCCTAATTGATGATAAAATCGTGACTGAATCTTTGTAAATTCTTGAATAATTATATTAAAATATTGAATCATTAATTTAAAGAATTCGGGTAATTCTTCATGTAATTGAGCCGATATAGATTCAAAAGCACTCGCAGATTGTTGAAGCGTTTTGTCAGGCTTAAAAGGTAGAAGAAATATATTATCAAAATTTATTTTATTATTATTATTTTAATTAAACATTATGATAAATTTGTTGTTTATTCTTACCGTTGCGCCATTATCCTTTATTGCTCTCGCTCGATCATAATCCAAAATTTTCCGTTCTCGTTTTCGCATCACTGCTGCAGGTGCTTTGAATAATGCTAAATATTTATCTATTTGAGGATATATAACTTTTTTGATGGCCTCTTCCTATCAATTAATATTTATAAATTATTATTAGTTGATTTTTTAAAAATTTACAAAATAAATAACTAACCTGTTCCTTTCCACAAGTTGACGCGAAACCACCAACAGCATTTTTGTATTCAACTATTTTTTTATATTCACTATTATTCTTATTAGATCCGAGTGTATAAAAATCCCCGATTGCTCCAGCAAAACGTTGTTGATCCTCAAAAAATGCTATCAACATATTTTTGAATGAGAACTTAAATTTTGTTCAATAAAACTTAAAACGTAATAAAATATTATACCTTTTACAGTCTTAACCCATTCTTTTATTTCTAGTGATAATTGTTTTCCGCGTTGTTCTAAATTCTTAAATTTTTCAACGTGCGCATTATAAAGTTCATCTTCAGTAGCTTTTATAAAACCTGCTGCATGTTTTAACTGAAAAAACGTAAATACATTATTTGAAAATTATAAGATTTTATAATAATTTTATATCTATTTTTTTGGTAACAAAATATAAGAATTTAAATTCTTACCATTTGACTTCTTCTTGTTATTGTCTTTGTTATCCCATGACTAAACCAATGTTAATTAGAAATACATAATATTGAAAATTCATTGGCAAAAAAAAGGGAAATTAAAATAAAATACTAACACAAGCTGTTATTAGAATTCGTATGGAAATAAAAAAAAATTTCATTAGAATTAAATTTAAAGAAATAAAAATCTTTATGAAATAAAACTTACATCGGCATCAGATTTTTTCTTACTACCCACGATTTTCTCAACAATATCCTTGCGTCTTTTTATTTCATTAATACGTCCCGCAACTTCGGTAATCTCGAGTAATGAAGTCTTGAGATATTCATAATCTGGATGAGTGGATTTCGTTAAGGAATAAATTTGCTAAAAAATAAATTTGAAATTCAGTTAAAAATTTTCGTGTAAATTTATAAATAAAATTCAAATTAAAATTAATGAATTCTCCTACTTGCAATAGCAGCGGATATTTTAATACACGCTGAACCGGTTTAATCAAAAGACTAGCGATGTCCCAACTTCTGGTTTTGCCTTCACATTGGGTTTTACATTTCTAATTAAATGAATGATTGAAATATTATTATTGATTATTGAAACTAAATTAGATAAAATTTCTGATAACAATTCCTGGTAACAATTCCAGTAAATGATTAATAAAATTTATATCTATTTTTAAAACCTGTAAAAATCCTTGAACATTTTCGTCACCGTCAAATTCCTGAAGTTTCTGAACAGAGGCCTCATGTCGTTTACAATAGCCTCCATAAACTTGTTCTATCCAACTTTCTCGCCCTTCATGTTTTTCCATCTGTTGTAAAGTACACGAGACTTAACAAAATAAACTTGAATTTCATTTAATATTATTTAAAATTTATAAATACCACATGTGCGAACATTTCCCCAATTGTAGTATTATCATTTTCTAATTCTAAATGTTTATCAGCATCTTCATTATCTAAGTCTTCAATTCCAGCAGACTCTTTCAATAATTCCAAAAAATTTGCAGAAAAATCAATTACGTCGGGAAGATTGTTGAAAATAGTTTTACAAACATGTGGCTCAAAAATTGGAATTTCCTGAGCTTGTATAAAATAAACCTATATTTGAGGACAAAAGAATTTTAATATAACTTTTAAAATTTTAATAAAAGATATAAAAAGGATGTTTTTAATTTATTTACGTCTTCTAATAATTCCATATCTTTCAAAAATAAATTCTCAGTTTCAACCAGCTCCTTTATAACATTCCATAATCTTCTGCGTCTTTTCATTTCAATTGAAAGCTCATCTTCTTCAACTAACGTTGTCTCACTTGAACAAGTAGGTAATGATGTTTCAACATGTGACAGATCTGAATGAGTTGCTGAAAAAGTAGCTGAAAGAGGAGGAGAAAGAGGAGGAGTGGTTCCTCCCGGTATAGGAGGTAACGTCTTTGATGTTTCTAAAGGTAAATCTTTGGGAAGAATCAAATTTTTACTTGAAAATAAATCTTCAATGCTAGCTTTTTTTGCTTCAAAAGCAGCAGATGAATTTCTTTTTGAACCAGGAGAACTATTGTTTTTTGTTGAACTTTTCTTATTTAATTTACTTGACTCTCCTTTATTTTTTATTAAACTTGAAAATTCAGAAAAATCATCATTTACTTCTGATTTTTCAATCCATTCATAATTTAAATCTGTATCGCTGATATTATTTAAATCTGATTCTTCAACAATACGTGTAATTGATGAAGAATTTATGGGATGTTTTGTTAAAGAATTCTTGTTAATGACACTAGTTTGCATTTTAGGTGCGCGAACGGATGAATTTCTTTTTTTATTTGGACTGTTTGATAATTGTAAATTTTTATTATTATTATTATTATTATTATTATTATTATTATTGGAATATGTCAAATTTTTAGGAATCTTTGAATTTTGAATAAAAAAAAATGATTTAGCTTGATTTACTTAATTAAAATAAAAAATACAATTCTATAATTATAATAAACTGGAATTACTTACAATTAGATTGCTTTCTCCATTTTTTTGAAATCTTGCTTTGATATCATCATAAATCATTGGAGATTCATCTATTATTAAGTTTGTCTCTTTTCCCGTCTTATCGTGTGATAATAAACTTTTAGAATTCTTTATATAAGATTTTGTTACTATAGGAACTGGTAATTTAGGAGACAAGGGAAGAGAAGGAGCAGTTCGAATTTGTGGTTCATCCTCGAAAGCACTTGAAAGTCTATTAACATTAGGTCCACGAGTTCGTTTCGGCAATTCAGATGATGAATTTGGTTCACTATCGATTTTATTTGAAGGAGTGGATGAAAGTTTAGAAGGTTTAGGTTTGGGTATGGGTGGATTTTTGGATTTTTGTGTTACTTTTGGCGCAACTCTACGAGCGCCATTCTTTCGAGTGCTTTTATCCATCCCCTCCTTTTGTGTTCTCCACAGACACAAATGGCTAACTCTTCTAAAATACCCGACCGCGATTGTTATAAATCATATATAATTAATTTAAATTTTTAAAAAGTTTTATCAAAAGAAATTCTTTGAATATTTCATAATTACCGAGAATTTACTCACAATTTCCAAAAATTAAAAGATATATATATACCGTTTTAGGCTGATTATAAAGTTTTTATATAAATTCTTTATAATTTAAATTTTGAATTCAAGAAAAAAGAGTGAATGAAATTTTATTTCTCGACTCGAAAACAATAAATATGAAAAAAATATAGCGCGCACCAGAATAATTTAATTCAGTTTTTAAGTCTTTTACAAAAAAGGTTAAGGTGAGATCGTGAATGATTTTATCAAACTATCAAAAAAATTGTTCAAAGTGAGTTCAAAAATGTTTAAACGTGTTATTGAAAAAATTATACAATTAAATTCCATTTGTGCATTTACGAAGTGAGACGTTAAACCAATATTCATTATTTATGTTGTGAACTGTTGTACGAACATAAATCTCTATAAATTTTAAGCATACATTTTGCTTTTTATGTTTAACAAATATGAATCGTTTTTATGAAAAAACGTCAACTTCGCCTGTAAACATTGCAGTTATCAAATATTGGGGAAAGCGTGATACAACTTTAATTCTTCCGACAAATTCTTCTTTATCTGTAACTTTGTCACAAGAGCATTTACAAAGTAAAACTACAATTCGTGCTTCACCCGACTTTAAAAAAACTAGGTTATGGCTTAACGGTATTGAAGAAATTGATATTGATAATAATAAAAGATTGCAAAATTGTTTGCGTGAAACTCGAAATTTACGGAAAGAATATGAAAATAAATTAAGTAAAGAAGGTGTAAAAACTGTTATTCCTTTATCTGAATTTAATGTTCATATTTGTTCGGAAAATAATTTTCCTACAGCTGCAGGATTAGCATCATCAGCATCTGGCTTTGCATGTTTAACTTATACATTAGCTCAATTATATGAATTGCCAGTTTCAACTACCGAACTTTCTAAAATAGCTAGACAAGGTTCAGGTTCTGCATGTCGTTCATTATTTGGTGGATTTGTTGCTTGGGAATTAGGATCTCAAAACGATGGATCTGATAGTCAGGCAATTCAAATCGCACCAAAAGATCATTGGCCTGAATTGGAGGCGTTAATTTGTATAGTTAGTGATGCCAAAAAAGGAATTAGTAGTACGGAAGGAATGCAAAATACGGTTGCTACTTCGCCACTTCTCCAGCACCGTATTGAAAAGGTAGTTCCCGAACGTATGAAATCCATAACTGAGGCCATTCTTAATCGTGATTTTCAAAAATTTGCGGAAATTACTATGAGAGATTCTAATCAATTTCATGCAGTTTGCTTAGATACATATCCTCCAATCTTTTACCTTAATGATGTCTCTCGTGCCATTATTCGAGTCATTACAGAGTACAATTCGTCAAACGAATTCAAGAAATTAAAAGCAGCGTATACATTTGATGCAGGACCAAATGCAGTTATTTATACACTTCGAGAAAATATCCCCGAGATAATTAATATTATTGCCAAATATTTTCCTGGTAATGTGGAAAATGATAAAGACTATTTTTCTGATCCAGATCAATTATTTGCAGGGAATAGATTTGGAGAAAATCCATTACCTCAAGGATTTAATAGTCAAATAATTCCAATATTTCCACCTGGAAGTGTGAAACAAATTTTGAATACAAGAATTGGTGATGGACCACAAACGTTGAACGGAGAAAAAGATGGAATGTTGAACGAAGAAGGTTTACCCAAAAGATTATTGTAATTACAATTGTAATTTTATTTTGTAATTTATTTTATTTATTGGAATGTTTACGTATTTATAAATACTTTCGTACTAGTAGAATATTATGTATTTATAAATAAATAAAGAATAAAAGAATGAATTAAAATATTAATCATATTGAATAGAATTTTATTCTGTCAAATTTAACAATTTTCTGATTTGCTTAAAGATGATTAAATATTTTATATTTTATAAGTATACATATATCTTTAATTCAAACAAAGTAAATGTCAAATAAATTTATTATTATAATAAAGTTTTACATCACGTAATAATAAAAATGATATATATCAAAAAAAGAACCATTAACCGTTATATAATAACACACAAACCACTTGGAAACAGAGTGTAAAGAAAAGAGTGTAAAGAAAAGAGTGTAAAGAAAAGAGTGTAAAGGAAAGAGTATAAACAAAAGAGAAGGATTAAAGGAATAAATAAATAAACAAATAATATATTTTATATAAAATATTCACAATTTTACCAATAATGTACAAATCAATATTTTTTTAATATTTAATTTTTTTTTTTTTCGTTACAATTTCTCTTGGCTTTTGTTCTCTCACTTCTATTACTTTTTAAAAAAAAATTTCATTATACACTATGTCATTTCTTGTTATTTCATTATCTTATTATTGTTATTTATATTATTATTGTTATTTATATTATTGAAAATGACAATGTTATCATAATTATCATATGTAAAATGCTAAATGCTTAATGAAATTTAATTACATAGAGAATATTGAGAATATTTCATTTTATTTGGAGGTTTTTTTTTTTGATTTAAAGAAAATTATGTGGTAAAAATGAATAACTGAACTGATAAGAATAAATAAAAATTACGAGGGATATATATAAAACGTTTTTATAATTCAAATTGGAATTCATTAGAATCAGTTGAATTAGATTCTGACACGTGATGGGTATTCACGAATCCATATAAACCGTCATTCATGAAATATTCATTATCCCAGGGATCGGAATCTAGATTAGGTTGAATTTGATGATGAAACTGTAATGAAGATTGGTCTTGAGGATTAAATAAATTTGTTGGTGCCATCATGTATATATTTGACGGATTTGATGGAGTTGATATAGGTTCATTTGAGTGATTAGTGGTGACATTAGTGACTGTATCGGTGGAAGCAGCAATTGTATTGGAAGAAGTAATTGTAGAGGAAGCATTAGTTGTAATTGTAGTGGCAGTGGTAGATAAAGGATATTCAACTTTTAATGAATTTTCAAATTTTGATTCTTCTTCCGAAATATTTGCTGTTGAATCTATCGATATTGTCGATCGTTCACTTATTGGTGATATTGGCGATGTTGATGACAATGTTTTTGATAATCTTAAAAAATTAGAAGTATCATTATTATCAAGATTTCGATTTGATTGATTTAATTGATTCGATTGATTTGATTGATTTGATTGGTTTGAATTCATATTTTGCAATGATCCACCATTATTCATGAAATTCCCTCCAGCTTTATTATATTCCAGTATTTGTAAAACCAAAGGAAATGGAATTACAATGTCTGATGGTTTACTATTAGCAATCATCATTACTCCTTGCAATTCTGCAATTATTTCTCGCATAGAAATATAACTAGAATTTTCTGAAATAAATCGAAGTTCTTCGATGGCATCATTTAATGATTTCTTGGCAAGTGATTCATATTCTTTTGATGCATTCATAACTACCATCTCTAAAATTGATGATTGCATAACTCCGTAAATTATATATTGAAAATTTATGAATGAATTTTTATCAAATTTTCTCGTTGTCCTTGCTATATCAGTGATTGTAATAGCTGCCGTTAGACATGTCTTAATTGGTCTACTTTGACCTTGTTTTTGCATTTCAATCTTTGGATCTTCATATTCTTGAGTTAAATATGGTTGATGAAGAAGAATTATACATGTATGAAAAAGAATGTTGATATAACCAGCAAATGCCGAAAATCTCGTCAATTGAATCAAACTTCTAGGATCTGTATTAGGTAAATATTGATATTGTAACTCATCAGGTAATTCCTTTAACCAATTTGCCAAAGCTGATCTTATTTGTCTTAATGTACTCTTTTGATCAGTTGCATGATACGTCCAATTTGAGTGTGATGCTTTTGGTTTAGAGGAATATCCAAATTTCCAAATTTCCCCCAAAATTCGGGATATTTTTATCCATGCAATAAAGAAACTTCTGGTTGAAAGTTCAAACGAAACTAATGTAGGTAAAGGAATGTCAACATTTATATCTTCAATTCCACTTGGTTTTCCTAATATGAATGAAACCCACCTGATAAACAATACATTTTAATGTCAAATAAAATTATATTAATTATAGTTTAAATAATTTTAAATGTATACTTAAACTTTAAATTTAAACTTAATCAATAATCAATCATAATTAATTAATCGATTACTGTTAATTACCTATTACAACAATATAAACAATAAAATACTCTTCGTCTTTCTTCTTCTCCTTCTGGACGGCAACAAGCTTCGTCGCGTTCAAGGTGCAAGTTATTAGACATTTGAACTAAAATAAATTATTAATTAAGAAATTATTATTATCATTATTATATATTATTATCATTATATCAAATATTATTGTATTATTATATTATATTATTATTATAAAAAAAACTTACCAGCCATTCCCAAAAACATGTAAGCACTATCTGCACGTGTTGCGCTACTTTCGGAATGACACAATAGTAATAAAGCTTGTACCGTTTCTAACTTGGGGATATGATACATACTATCCAACAATTTCTAATAATAATGTTTATCAAGTTTTGTTCAAAAAATTAATTCCTGGTCCCGCGATATTTAAAAAACGTGTATTATTATTTAAATAATAATTACCTTAGCAGCATCATAAAATATACCACCTGGTTTATCTTGAGATTTTTGTATTGCAGGATCATCGGAATATCGAGAAGCAGAAATGGCTAAAACCGAGTTCAGCAATAATTCAGAAGTTTTAGAACCATCTTTAGATACGTTTTTGAATTTTTGTCGATCAAGAATAGGAATTATATTATTGAAACGATTAAAGTATTCATTTATCAAAAATTTAATTAATTCCTTGCTGGGAGGAGGTGGTATATTAGAAGAAGGAGAAGAAGAAGATAAGGAAGAAATATTGTTTGTAGAAGATGTAATATTGGTAGTGGTAGCATTTTGAGGATTTAAAAGGTCCAAATTAGCAGGATTAATCGACATTTTATTAAGTTTACCGACTAATTCAACTAATGATTTGGGATAAGTATGATTGAGAACAACACTCAAAGGTGATACGATGGATTTTTTTTCTTCGACAGGTTCAGCAATAATTGGAAAATCGAGAACAACTGAATTTGTATTTTTATTATTTGTATCATCGTTATTTTTAATGTTTTCATTAGACGATTTTCTGGAAAGAGAAGAATTGATAATATTTGTGACGGCTTCCTTTGCCTGTTTAGTTTTGTTTGGAACAATAGTTTCAATTAAAGCATCAATAACTTTTTCGAGTTTTTTATATTCATTTCGATTCAATGGATCAGTTTGTTCATTGTCATTACTAGCATTGCTAGAAGAAGAAAATAATTGCTGTTGCTGTTGAGAAGAATTTAAATCACCATGAGTTTGGTTTTGTTGTTGTTGTTGTTGTTGTTGTTGTTGATATAATTGTAATTGTAATTGTCTTTGTATATCATTTTGAAGATGATTCGTAAAGTGATGTTGTTGTTGTTGTGGTTGTCGTTGTTGTTGTTGTTTTTGTGCTTGTTGGGGTGTTGGTGGTGTTTGCGGTCGTTCTTGTGATGATAAAGTAGAAAATGGTAAAGGGAATTGTTGTTGAGATTGTAAATGTTGTTGAAAATCTTGAGAGTCTTCCTCACATAAACGAGGACGTTTTGAAGAGTTGGAAGGTAACATCGCTCAATAATATAAATAATATAATATAAATAATATAAAATGATTTGAAAAAAAGGGACAAGAATATTTGCTGGTTTTTTATAATTTTTATAATTTTTAAAATTTTACCCAATGAATATATTTATATAGCAAATTTTAGTGTATCCAAATATATTGATAAAATATTTCTTTAATTCTTTTTTTTATTCGGTTATTTTTATTATGTAAAATGTCTCCAAATAACAGATAAATATAAACAATTCTGTATAAACAAGTTATAAATAATTAATTTTATCAAATTTTTCTTGGAACTTGAAAAAATTTTTGAACTAGATTTTCAATTACAAATGTGAATTTATCTGAATTTCTGAATGTGAATTGCTAAAATTACTTCATTTTTTTTCATTGTTTCACGCGATTTGTTGTAGTATTAAATTCGCGTAATGCACCCCAAAGTTTTGTGTACTTTAATAAATGTACCACTTAATTTAAATGGTTAAATTAATTAAGTTAAACTTAACTTCTTCTCCACTTGTCTCCTACATAAAAACAAATATTTGTGTATTTGTGTCGATTAAATGATCTAATTTATATTTTTCTTGGATTTTCTCATAATTTTTTTTTTTTTTTTTTTTTTTAATTTTAACGTTAATCTTGCTTTTCTTTCTTTTTTATGGTAATTTTGTTTTGCCGGGTAACAGGCGAAATTTTCGATTTTATTTGTGTTCAAAAAAAAATTTTTTCTGGTTATGGCGTTTAGTCAGGACGCATTTACAGTATTGCAAGTAGTAGCACGGCATATAATTAGAAGCGACATGTAAGAACGAATCGGATAATAGGATTTGAAAAATACGGACCTTCCTTGAATAATCAATGATGTTCAAATAAAGATCATGTTCAAGTAAAGATCATCTATCTTTCTTATCTTCTATAAATCTCTATAAATCTTTATTTCACTTTATTCACTTATTGTTTTTGTTTTCTATATTATTATACTATTTTTTATTAATTTATGATTTTGAATATTATAACCCAATGTTTTCGAATTTTATTTTTCGTTTGATGATTCATTTGTAAAGTCTCCTTGATACCCTGATTATCTTTCATTCACGATTTCCACAATTGCTACAATTACCGAAGGTTATGCATAGGTAATTAATCTTTTATTGAATCTTTTACACAAAATTGCGCACAATCCTTTTTTCACACGATTTAAAAATTATAATTAAAAAAAAATTTTTATCTGTCCAAATTAGGAGTAGATACGTGGACAATTGATCATGAGTCTTACCATGATTCGCGTTATAAACGTAACTTTAATTTATTTTCAGTGCTTATATTACATTCGCCTTTTTAATTCATCTAATGACCTGAACTAAATCGTTAAAGATTTTCTTGTAATACGATGTGTTTCATTTTCGCATTTTATTTTTGGTTTATTAATATATAGTGAGAGTCTAGATTTTTTTTTTTTAGAAAAAAAAGTTTAAGTTAAATTAATTACGTATAATTAATGCATAATAATCAAGAAAAATCTTGTTTAAATAATTTTGTCTCTTATCTCTTTGAAATCTGTTATTATTATATAATAAATATTATATAACTGTGGCTTATTGACAAGTTAAACATATTAATGACTAATGACTAATAACTCATACTCATTTAATTTTAAAAATTTCCACATTGTAACAGTATTCCAGGTACAGTATCAGAATTCTGTTTTCAACAAAAAATAAAGTAGATAACCTATTTAAAAAAAGAATTCAGAGTTACAAAGTCTGAATAAATTACTCCATTAATGCAATGTTCCTTACAATTAAACTTGATCAAACTTGATTACCCTTATTCAAGTCTTATAATTGATTTTAAAAGTTCTCATTATTGTAGCTTTTTTTAATGTATTGTCTATTTCACAATTTCACAATGATTGCAAACTTTTTTTCAAAAATTTTTATAGATTTAGAACCTCCAGATCTTTCTCTTTGAAATAATAGTTTTTTCATCTTATTTAATTAATTTTTAATAGAATTAGTTTAAAGAGATAATAATATCTCAATTATATATGTTATCTAAATTCAAAAGTCCTAATTAATGAAATTTGTTATATATAATTACTTCAATAATTACATCAAAATTTTATATAACTTAATTTTAATTTTTCTTAATTGTGTCAAATTAAATTCAATAGTTTTAACAACATATACAACACAGGTCAAACATTAAAAAATAGTCATACTGAAAAGGAATTCTGATTTTAGCTAATTTATAATATAGAATATAATAAGACAGTTAATTTTTAACTGGTCTATAATATAGGAATTTCAATTTTTAATATAGAAATTATTTGATATAGTAATTCTTTTATATTTGACTTGTGCAACCTTAACTAATAATACTTTTTATATAGTAACTTACAAAAGTTATATATACTTTTGACTTTAATTTTTTTAATTTATAACATATTCTTTAATAATATTATAAATTTATTTACAGTTGAGTTTGTATAAGTATATATTGTTAAAATTTATATATTTAGGCAAGTTATATTTATATAAATTTTTAATGTTACAAATTCACAAATTAAAATTTTGTAAAGATTACACTTTTATTAATAAATCAAATCAATATATTTACAATTGAATAGATTAATTATTTATTCAATTTTTTCAAATTAATTAATTTATTAAAATTATTAAAGATGAAAAAGATGATAAATGTTATTAGTATCTTTACATTGGTCAAAAATTTATAAATATTATACCTATTAGATATCAGATATGTGACAGTCAGTTTTGCTAAATATCAAAACCCAATTATATATGTTTTTAAAATTGATTTTGGATTTTTAATATATTTTATCCTTCAAACTTTATACAAAATCTAATCTATATATGAAAGTAAAAAATTATCTAGTTAAGTATATTTTTAATCAAAGAATAGAAATCAAGTTTTAAAAAACTTTGACTTTCAGACTTCAAAATATTTTGACTTACTATAATAAGGAAACTGTTAAAATCAAGTTCAATTATATGACTAGATGATTATCACCTGCTCGGAAGTCAAACTATTATATGACATTTTGGCCAATCAGATTGCGTAAAAATACTTCTCATGAAAAATAAAAAAAAAAATATAATTTTATAAACCCGAAATTTAGTTTAAAAATAAAAAAAAAAATAAAATAATTTTTATAAACCTGATGTCATTAAATTTTAGTTTAAAAATAAAATAATTTTATAAACCTGATGTCATTAAAAATAAAAATAAAATAAAATAATTTTATAAATCTAATGTCATTAAATTTTAGTTTATTTTTTGTATTAAGTTTATTTTATTTTCAAATCAATTATTATTTTCGAAAACTTTAAATCACACCAGTGGTATTGTGCACCATATCATGTGATCATATGACTTAAACGTGATCCTATATAAACATAACATAAACGAATATGATTGGTAAAAAGCCTTCTAATAACGTGATTATATAAATATGTTTACATAATCAACACACC